AGATGATAGAAAAGGTATAATATGTTTTTACGATTACAACAAAAATCTGGTAGTTCTCCTGTGAGCAATATTGTTGAGCAATATGGGCATTTTTGATTCCATGAAAAGGTGAATGGCATTAAAACAGTTTCTTTTAAAGTGCATTGAGTATCACACCAAAATATATTTTTTGATCATTGTGAGAAAGGTTTAGTTATAGTATATGAATTATTATTATATTGATTTATGCACGTAGTGATTTGTTTTTGCATATAAGTTTTTTTTTGTACAATACTGTTGTTTGTATGCATTAAATTCATTCATGTTATTGTAAAAGTATAAAGTATGTTTTATTTTTTATTTTTTATTTTCAATTAGTTTGTTATTAATATTTTAATTCTGTATTTAGCAGAGGTGCATTATTTTACTACTCATTTATGATTTTTTTTTCTATATGAGACAGTTTAATATATGCAATTTTTATATTATATTTTTAGTAAAGAGTTTATATATTATTTTTTGCCATTACTTACATATTTAATAAAAAGTATTGTATTTGTAATAATTTTATTTTTTATATATAGTGAATTTAAATAAACTATCAGCAAAAATTTTTTGTGCATTTTAATATGCATATATGATTCTGACTTTGTGTAAATTTAGAGTAATTGTTGTTATATACATTATTTTAAAGTTGATTATAAATTAGTTAATTGTGTAAAATAAGGGGTAGTATGGCTCTAAACTAATATCAGTAATTCAAAAATGTAAGAATTTGCCTTCAACATAGAGGTTTTTTTTAATAATTTATAGAATTATGTATTTTACTATCGCAGTGAAGATTGGTTTCATTGTTATTTTTGCTTTTGAAAGATTTACTATAAGGGATAGTAGAGTAATATTTGTTCAATAATGTAAGTTTTACTTTTTAAGTTAGCTATTTGATCGATGTTTGTAATTGTAATCTTTTTTGAATAAGCATTATTGCATAATATTAATATTGATTCTTTTTTTGCTGTGTGAAACTTTTTATTAAGTTCTCACATATAACAATTATATATGATACGTATTTTATTATTTTGCAATTTAAAATGTAAATATTTATTTATTTATATTATATATATATATTATATTATATATATATATATATAATACAATATTATAGTAATAATAGTATCATTTGATGTAATGAATTTTTAGTAGAAATGTTTAGTTAGAATAGCATTATAAAAAAGATTTTTGATAATTCTAATTATCAATATGTTTTAATTATTTTGCTTCTTTATTAATATTTGTCAAATCTCAAGATCTTAAAGAATTTCGTAAAGATCAGTTTACACTTTCTTTACTTTTTCCTTTATTATATGTAATTTTTGATACTTATTATTTTTAGTTAAATCTTCACTTTTTTCATGATTTTGATTAGTTGAATTGTTTTTTTTCATATCAAATTTATAACTTGTTTGTTCTATGTTGTCATCTTCAACTTGAATGTGTTTTGATGAATAAGATACAGATAGTGAAATTGTTTCAAAATTGTCACTAGAATCTATTGATTTCAAAGTTTTGTTTTTGTTTTCTGAGATATTTTGATGCATAACAAAGAGTTTAGAATGAATTAAATTTTTAGGTGCTGAAGTTGCTTGAGTTATATTATTAATAGATTCTTTTTTACTCTCAAAGTGTGTATTGACAAAATTAATTTCAGTAGCATATACATAAAATTCATTGTTGAAAATTTCCATTTGCTCAACTACAAAAATTAATAATTCCTGAGCCTGTACAGTATTTTTTAAATGCACAAAATGTGGATTAAGGTACAGAAAAGTAATTTTTACAATAAAATTATATTCTTCGCCAATATAGTCAGTTATTAATGTTTGGAGAATTGCATTTTCATTGCTTTTAACTTCTTGCAGCATTTCTTGGAGAATTCCAATTAGTGATATTTTTAGAGGGCATTTATTTGAAGTGCTGACTTTATCCTGAAGAGCTAAATGTGTTGAAGTTGAGACAGTTATCTAAAAATTTATTAAGAGTATTAATTTAATTAAATTTTACTACAAATCTTAATATAAATCAAATAAAACAAACATTTTGTAAAATATCTTCGCTTTTTTATTTTTTCCATAATAACCAGATACAATTTTACCCCAATGAAATAAAAATTATCCTTTTCAAAAACTCTTGAGTTTCTGGATCTCTTTCATTCATATTGGTCAACAATATTGCTCACAGGAGAACTACCAGATTTTTGTTGTAATCGTAAAAACATATTATACCTTTTCTATCATCT